AAGCAAAACCGTGACTCTCGCGAAAGAAAAAAACAAAAAACACGTTTTATTTTTCCCTTTCCGAGAGGCACGGCCGTGACTCTCGCGAAAGCACAACTGTGCCTCGCGTGGAAGCAAAACCGTGACTCTCGCGAAAGAAAAAAAACAGAAAACGTGTTTTGCTTTTCTCTTTCTGAAAGGCACGTCCGTGACTCTCGCGTAAGCACACAACCGTGCCTCTCACGGAAAAAAAACCCTGACTTTCACGAAAGAAAAAATGCATTTTTTTCGTGGAAAAAAATCAGAATTTTTTTTTATCGAAAAGCTAAGGAAGGCCGGGGGAAAACCAAAACCGAAAAAATCGTTTAAAAAGCTGAAAACGCATGCGGAAAAATATAAAAATAAAACAAAATCATGAGGGAGCATCCAGAGCACACACGTGGCGAATGGCTGAGAGCGCGCCAAGTGGCGCTGATCGTTGCGAGGCTCCCGAAGAAGCGCTCGTTAACTAGTTGCTCCCGATTATATCCCCCTAATTCATACGAGTACAAGGAAAAAAATCCCCCGAATTCATATAAGGGAATTCTAATTCATATTTGGAAACATACCATATAAACAGAAAAGTTATTCATGTGAATAGATGTAAACACATTTAATTTAAATTTTAAAAATTTAAAAACCATAATTTTAAACTGTGCATCGAAATTAAGATCAGTTTTCACCATCGGAATCCTCGCGACATGCTGTTCAAAACTATATCCCTCGTGGCTATGTTTCGACGAATTATTTTTATGCAATTTAGTCCCTGTTTGGTGCAACTGCTTAACTGTCGATATGCAACTACCTCATAATCGACTAGCAAAAGGCCACGTGTGTTGCAACGAGAAAAAAAATCATAATCTTCAATCGCCATGACCATATTTTGCTGCATCACCGAGATAACTATCACTGTCAATTTTGTGAAATCATGAATAACTTTTTAAATCCTGAACTTTTTTTAAACTCGTGAACATATTTGAAATTATGAACATTTCCAAATTCGTAACCACTTATACAAAGTTTCTAACATTTTGTAAAATCAAGAACATTTTTTGAATTCATGAACATTTCTTTGCAAACATTTTTTTAAATTGTGAACAGTTTTTGAAAATAATCTTATTGAATCCGCGAACATTTCTAGAATTGACGAGCATTTTTTTGGAAATTGGTGAAACAATTTTTGGAATTCATGAATATTTTTTGATCTAAGAAGCATTTTTTGAAATGCATGATCATTTTTTGAATCATCGAACATTTTATGAATGAATAAACTACTTTGTAAGTCATGGATAGTTTTTGAATTTTTAGGATATATTTTTCCATTCATGAACATTTTTTGAATTGGTGAAATTTTGTTCAATTTTAATAACATTTTTCATACATGCACATTTTTTGATTTCCCAAAAATTCGTTTTCGAAATTTCAAACATATTTTGAATAAGCAAACATTTTTTACGAATCACGCACATTTTTGAATCCTCAAACAATTTATAATTTCTTAATCATTTTATTTCAATATTCTATTTTTTTTTACTTTTCAGGACTTTTTTGAGGTTCCAAATTATTTAAAGTAGAAAAAACAAAAAGAAAAATGAAAAAGAAAAAAAATAAAAAAAACATGCCGCCCGAACCTGGGCCGGCCCAAACGAGCACGCTGCGTCTTCTCACAGCATGCAAAGCGCATTATAAGAGGTCCCTACTGCATGGGCCGCCCCAGGCGTGGGATTCCCCTTTGTAAAACTTTTTTTTATCACTTATAGATGGTATTGGTGTGTAATATTTTACAACTTTGGGGGCAATTTTTGTGACGTACCACCGAAAGCAATAGCCCCCTTATTATTAGGTATACATGTGCAACTTTTCATTTATGACACCTCCAAACCAAACTACCCATATGAGTGAAATGTGCAACTTCGTTTGCTGCCTTTACCAATGCCATGCCAACTAAAACTAAACATCCACAAATAGAAAGGGAAAAGAATTACACATTGACTACTCGGCAGATGACTAAAACAACAAACTAAGTTGCATATATCGCTAGTAGGGTAGGTAGGGCAAGGTGTGCCAGTTGTAAAAAGTACACATGCATTAGTTGGAAGGGGGTTGCACATCTACTACTAGGTAGTTGCCTAGGCAACAGACTAGCTGCACATCATAAAAAGTTGGTTGTCATGGTTGCTAAGTTGCATTCTCGTAGGAAGTTGGATCATGCAGCTCCAAAATTGATTTTCAAAACAGTTGCATCGTATAGCATCAAAGTTGGCACCGAAAGTCGACTCATGCGGGATCTAGTTTCAAAGATTTTGCCGTGAGGATTCCAACAGTGAAAGCGGATCCGAACTCAGACGCGCGGTTTGGAAGGCACTTTTTAAAATTTTGAAAACCCGAACTAAATGCACATACACATCCGTTAGTGTTGCTGCCTACATGAGCTTTGAACAGTACGTGACATGTAAAGCATAAAGATAAATCTAGACCCACATGCATGGGTGTGTGTGGAGGGGCAGCTCGAATCCCTGAAATAGTGCATCCGCACTTTTCAGGATTTGGCTGTGTTTATTCAGACGGAATCAGTCCTAAGGATTCTAAAAAGGGACGCTCATCCCACAAATTGAAAGAAATTGCCGCAAAAAAAGAGAATGAATTGAGTGTAATCAATGCAAAAACTGATCAAAGAATACTACCACCCTTAAAAAATTCCAAAGGACAAAGAATACAATGGAGCACCTCCACCATCAAATTGCACCCTTGTCATTCATCTTGCACGCATATGATGCAATTTTATCGATTCAAAATGGATAGTAGAGCAATCTCTCAAATGGCCGTTGGATGTGGCTTGGGATTTATCGGCAATAAGAATTGAAAGAAACAACATGAAAGTTGTTGGTAAGCACCACTGGAAGCCACCCGATGCAAATAGTATCAAAATCAGTGTCGACGATGCCTTCTCTAAAGCAAACCACCAAGGAAGTACATGCTTGGACTCAGAGATCACGAGGGGGGCTGATAAGGGTGCAAGCATTGTTGTATAATGCAGGTGCTAGTGCACTTGCACTGGAAACTCTTGCAACCAGAGACCGAGAGACGGCGTTCAACCCGCCTCCGACTTGGGATTTCACACGGTTGTTGTAGAAACTGATGCTCTACATCTGGTGAATCTATGGAACGATATGCCCGTCAACCATTCTCAGGTTGCTGCAACGCTTCATGAAATTCATGAGCTTCCTGTGAATTTCAAAGCTTTCCAGCTCAAGTTTATGAAACAAGAAGCAAATGAGCATGTGCATCTTTGCGCGGAGCATGCAAGTCCGGGTAGAAGGATATGTCTATGGATAAACTTTGTTCCTAAATTTCTTATAGATTGCATCAGGAAGGACTCCAAACGTGCTTAAGGTGACAACATGTATAAGAGGTGACAACAAAGTATCGAGCCATGACCACCTCTATGCCAAGTTTTGATTGCATCACATTTTGGTGACAAATCACACAAGAACAAACAATCCAAAAACAATTAAACCTTAGTATCACCTCACATGGCTGTGAAGCACACATACCAACTCTATAGCAGCACAACACAACAAAGCGAAGTCCCAACACCACCTCACAGATGAGGGCACCAACTATAAAGCAGTGCAACACACCACAAAAGCTATTTGAGTTGCCTCCCAATATGCGAGAACCCATTAGTGTGTTATTGCTAGAGTATTATAAGGCAAGCAATGAGGCGTTTATTCATTGTCGTACCAAGGAACAAGTCTAGCGGCAAGAATGGAGCATGATAAGAAATGATCAAATAAAACTTGTCATGACCACCTCTTATACATGTTGAAGCATCAATATACAAATCATCAAATCCATGGTGATCTCTAGGACCAAATGCAAAATGGACTCTCTG